TTGAGCACTTCCTACTGTTTGATCCTGCGTGATGATTCCCTCCGATGAGTATCAGAGTATAATGATGCATTGTTAGGTCTTTGTTTTTATTCTCTCAAGCATGGACATGAGCTTAGGTTTGCTTCCCTATTAAATCCTACTGCGCGTCAACTACTCCCTCCCTTGTTCCCAGCTCCATGCATTCAAGTAGGAGCAGACAACTTATTCTGGTCCATGGGCTATGAGTAGAAATGACACATGTCACTTCTAGGTCAGAGCAGGAAGAGTAAATGTGAATTCTCATGGACCCGTTCTTCCTGTCATGATGGCCTTCCAGATGATGGGACTTCCCTAAGTCTGACTTTGAGGAGCAGAGCCCTTCAATCTCCCCTGCATCCCGTCTGCCTGTCAACCAGCCCTGAGCCTCCAGCATGAGAAATCAGATTTTGTTGTATGAAGACTCTGAGCTCTTTGAATTTACTTATCACTGAAGCATAGCCTACCATCTCCTGGAAGTGAAGTGCTGTATTAAAAAATAAATTGTGCAGTGTTGACTTAGTGGTTGGCAATATGTGGTTAGGCGTCTGATATCAAAGGTAAGGAGCGTAACCCGTGTTATGCAGTGGTAAAACATTTGGCAAAACTGTCACTGCAATAACTTAGTAAGTTCGCATATTTAAAGAACTCACATTTCTAGGGGAAAGTGAGTGAAAAACAAAGTGTTTGTGGTAGAATGTCTTGGTTATTATTTGTTGTGTTTTACAAGATAGTAAAGAGAGAAAGAAAAGGATGACTGGTTTTATAGGTAGAAATACAAGGAGATAGAGACTTCTAGAAATCCAACACTTTACCGTGTTGGAATAGCTGATTGATTTTTACTCCCAAAGAAAGAGTTAAAATTAAGAAAGAACTTGAGGAAAAGTCCATTAAAACAGATATTTTTGGCAAGAATCAGATTAAGGATGTTACTTCATGGTTACTTAAAACCTCTCAATGGTTTAGACTTTTTCCCGAAAAAGATCAGATAAAGGATCTGGCTTTACCACTTACTACTCCAGAGAGGCTCAAATATACTGAGAGGTAAAAAATATATTGAGGGGGTAAAAAAGCAAATAAATATAGCAGCTCTGAAGTCTATGTCTCCAAAGAACTATACTGTGGATATTATAATATGAAACCGATTAAGCCAGACAGACAATGCACCTCTAAAGTATTCAGAGAATGATACTTTCAAAAAACCTATGAACTTGGAATAAAAAATTCATGAGCCTTAGAGAACTGAAATAACTTGTGTGCCCCCCTCGTACCCCTATGGAAGGTAATGGTCTGAAAAACTGTATCCCCTGAGGAGGTTGAAGTATATATCTTCCAAAATATTGTAAAGGATGCCTCATCTTGTTTGTAACCACTTGCTCACACCTGCCTTACATGCAAAATTGACTGGATGTGAACTTAATTTGATCCTAAGTTTTCCCGCGTCACTCCAAAGGAAATGGGATACTTTGATGAGCATATGGTCACCTTGCCCAGGACAGATTAGAATACAATGATCTATGAACACTCCAGTTTAAGGATGCAACACTGAATGTTGTAACCTTGAATCAATGGAATGTGAGGTATATCGATACCGTCCAGGTCCCAGTTGGAAGATACACCCAACCTGCCACAGCAGTGATGGAGCAACCTGTGACATCGGTTCCCTGAATCTCTCCAAGAACCCTTGAAATGACAACAAGCAGAAGATATCTGGTAGTGGTCAAGACAGAGAAAAACTGACCAATTCAGAGACACAGTTTGTAAACCACTTTACCACCTTTTTAGCTTGCTTACTCATTTAGACTTTGGAGGAAATAAATGCTGGAATTTATAAATGTTTAACTATGTGGTCGTGTGGTTTCTTGAGTGCATACTGCTACTCAAAGAACTGGATGTTTGCTGTGACCCAAGTGAAACAGAAATTGAAACTAAAATTGGAAATTCAATTTCAACTAAGGGCATATTCTGTAATTCCCATTTTGGATGCAGCCAAGGTGTATAATGGAAAAAACAGCAATCTTTCAGATGTGGTGCCAGGCGTCACAGAGAACAAAGGAATAAGAAGCTTTTCCCAGAGACCAGAGTAAGACTCTAATCAAAAAAACCCTCTAAACCCCAGTGTAGGAGGTCTTGGCCGCACCCGTTCAGTGTGATTTCAGAATTACTGGGCTCAGTGACTGCCAGGTATCCTCCCATCCTTCCCCTTCTAAACGGGAGTGTTTGTTGTGGTTACCCTGTCCCTCTCTTACTGTTACATGTTGGGTATGTTGGCAGATGGGTTGCAAATTATTTGCATTTTAATACATCTTTAGGACAGAGGATCACATCTGGATAAGACAACTCCTTAAAACCTAGAGATCTGAAACTTGGAGCTAGATGTAGTGAATAAATTAATCTTTGGAGATGGGTTGAGTATGTTCTATGTGTGTTAAGACATTTTTGGTAACCACAAGGGTAGACTGTTGTATAAATATTGACTGCTCATCAAATATCCCTGTGCTTGTACACATTTCCTAGCTCCCTTTTATATAGGCAGGGCCATGTGACTTGTTCTGGCCAATGGGCTGTGAGCAGAAAAGATGTGTGTTACTTTCAAGCAGGTCTAAGTTCTCCACGCATTGTTCTTCCCTGCTGTGCCAATTCCTCACCTGGCCCTTAGGTGACTAGATGCAACACAGCTCCTCTTCCCCCCAGCCCCCAAACAAGTATAAACAAGGAAGAAGACACTGCTGTGGGAAGCCACTGGCACTGTAGAGTTCATTTGTTCTTTCAGCATTACCTAGCCTATCCTGACTAATACAGACTCTAAAACTTCAACATGGGCATGCATATTAGATAGTAAAAATATCAGTGACAATCTCTTATAATAATAAATTGAGGGCTTCCCTGGTGGCGCAGTGGTTAAGTATCCGCCTGCCAATGCAGGAGACATGGGTTTGAGCCCTGGTCTGGGAAGAGCCTACATGCCGCGGAGCAACGAAGCCCGTGCACCACAACTACCGAGCCTGCGCTCTAGAGCCTTCGAGCCACAACTACTGAAGCCCGTGTGCCTAGAGCCCGTGCTCTGCAACAAGAGAAGCCACCGCAATGAGATGCCCGCGCACCAAAATGAAGAGTAGCCCCTGCTCGCCGCAACTAGAGAAAACCCGTGTGCTGCAACGAAGACCCAGTGCAGCCATAAATAAATAAATACATTTATAAAAATAAATAAATAAATAGAGATGTACATTACAAAACATACATAAGGAGAATGAATTATCCTTATGGCTAAGTAAAATATTTTTACTTTTGCAATTTGACCGTAGTCTTTATATATTACCCAGTCCTTAAACATCCAATTGTCTAGAAATGTGCTATTTTACCATTGTAATATCATCCTAACATCCCTCTTATAAATATCAAGATTTCTCTGGGTATTATCCCATCTGCCTGGACCCTTAGACTTTAGTGCACTCCCACATGGATACAACCTTCATCGGTCACTAGCCAGCCACAGAAAGCACCTTCCCATTAACCGAACCTAGACCACAGCAAATCCAACATTAACAGGGTCCTTTAAGGCAGTATGGAAATGAGTTAACTGACTTAGGAATGTCAGGCATGAGGTCAGGGACCAGGAAAGATGCTTGTGAGCAGATGAGCAGACTACACTTGAACCCTTGGCATTGGCTACTTATACACAAATGGGATATGGAGGAACCCTGCAAACAAATATATAGGCGGCTGAGAAATACAAGAAGCTGAAATGGAGGGTAAGTAGAGCGTGCCAAGTATCAGAACAATTTCAATCAGGGTGAGGAAAGAAGAGAAACCCATGACAGAAGCCTCTGGTTAACAGTTATCAAGCAAAGGCTCTGAGCAAAGATAATCTGGATCCTGGAAACAAAAAGACCCAACACAGTGAAGACACATCTACTCGGTAAAGGGCAGTTTTTCTTACACAGAAATTTTAAGCAGTGTAGAATGGTATTATGATAAACAATACAAGGATAATATCCTTAAATACAAAGTGAAATGGTATACTTTCACTGGCACTTTGGGAAGAAGTAAATCTTGTAATATAGTGAATATATCTGTTCTAATCATAAATAAAAGTGAGGTTTTTTAAAAAACAACTATTTTTTTTCACTCTGATCAGTGCAAGTAAATTTTAAAACTTTTTTAAAACTTTCAGAATATAAGACTATATTCTGGCAGCCAGTAGCTTTCGTGGTTACTCTGCCCATCTCTGTAGGTCCTATCACTCCATCAGGCAGGAACACTCTCGGTTTATGTCTCAGCCTCATACAAGTGGGGAGAGTTTTCTTCTATAAAGATTTCTCGGGAAGGAGAGTACACACACAACACACACACACATATATGATTTTTGTTTCTACAAATACAAATAAAACTTGGCTAGGTTATCACTGATGTCATTGAGAAGTCACAATGGACAGTGGAAAAAAAAACTGAAAGAGAACAGAGGCTGAGCAAAGGTAGCCAAATTCATTTGAAACGTTGAAAAAGTCTTTTTATATCATAGGCTAATGAAACACTTATGTCTTGGTCTTGGTTTATATTTCTATCAGTGGTTATAAAATTGATGAAAGGAGGAAGAGAAGCAGAATAATTAACATTAACATCTGAGAAGAAAGGAAAGTCTACAAAGCTTTTAAAGGGATCACGATCAAGAAGAAGTGAACAGTATTAGACTGCAAATTAATTAGAGAAAACTTTTCTCTCCTAAAAAGTTCCCATTTAGTGCTACTTTGCAAGTCATGTCCATGATTAGTTATACTTTTGAAGATGTCCCTTTAAGCTGATATGTGATCGAAACTCAGTGGCAACCTCATGTCGTTTTGGTGTACTATACCTTTTTGGATAACTTTTTATATGAAATTCATAGCTTTATAAAATGTTTTAAAAAATATCGGTATGTGGGGGGGTTATGTCATTCATTCATTTTTCTATTTCTCAAATATTTATTGAACTTCTGTGACATTCAGGCATTCTTCTAGGTGATTGGGAAGCAGTCCTGAACAGAAGAGACAAATTTTCTACCACGTGGCGCTTACATTCTATTGGAGAGAGAGAGAATATACAGATAAGTAAATAAACACATAATGCTATGTCAGCGTTGGAAGAATTCTGACAATTTTAAAGGCTCTGTGAAACATATGATAAAAAGACTGCATTAAAATATTTAATGTTTCTTTTTTTATTAGTAAATATGAAAACTTTATAATGGGGGGTACTGTATCTGCTATCTTGCTTTTTCTTCACTTACCATTTTGTGAGCATGTTTCTTTGTCTATAGTAGTCTTCAAAAATATGTTTTTAATAGCTGTAAATATTATAGGCTATATACAAAAATGTGATTCTTTCATTATTTTTGACAGTTTCTATGGCCCTATAAATTAAATTTATGTACATAAATCCTTATCTGCATATCTGATTATATCCCCAGGATAAGGTGCATAAAGTGGAATTATTGGGTCTAAATGTATGTATATTATGACTCAATGTATGTTGCAAAATAGATCTATATAAAGGTTACACTTCCTCACCGTTATCTCAACAACGTGAGATATTAAGTAGATTTAAACCCTCAGCCAAAATCCACTATTTTAAATTACATATCTCTTTACAGGAGAGGTTGATTTAAAAAAAATAGGTTTATAACGCATTCACCTTTCTTTAGTGAATTCTTTGTCATGTGCTTGTCTTTTTTTTTCCCTTGGGCTGATAGTGTATTTCTTTTGATATATGAGATATTGTATGTATGAATCATATATTTGTTGCAATTTTTTCCAAGTGGTCATTTATATTTACATTGTTAACGACATTTTTACATTCAGAAGTATTCTTATGCACTCAAACTTCTTATTGCCCTTTTTTCTTGATGATTGCTTCTATTCCTCTGGTGCTTAGAAAGCCTTCCCTATGCTGAAATCAGTAACCATATTTCTTATGTTCTTCTAGTTGTTTTTCTAAATTTTATTTTACTTTCTTATTTAGCTCTTTAATCTAGGTGGAATTAATTTGGTACGATGGGGCTTTAATTTGAGCCTTTTCCAAATCGTTCATTTTCTTACCACCATTTGTTAATGAAATAATCCATCCTTTCCCCTATAGGTTTGTGATACTTTCTCATCTGTTAAATTTACACACACACACACACACACACACACACACGAGTCTTGTTTCAGCGCTTGCATTAATCTGTTTAAAAGGTTTTCTTTTTAAAATGTGTCTGTCGGGGGGTAATGGTAAGTAAATACTTTTTGTCCCAGATGTTACAAAATTACAATAATTCTTAGTATTGTCTTGACGGAACCGAGGAAAACCAACGTTGCGGAGGCATTTAGGACCCAGGGGAAAGCCAGGCTCCATATAGAAGGACAGAGTCTCGGGCGCACACGCCTCCTACCAAAATCACAGCCCCTAAGAGCCAGGGCTCTCATTCACAGCTTTCTAGAGAAATCTGAGCCCGAACCTGCCAGAATAGGGGATCTCACCCACTCAGCTCAGCAACGAGGACACCTGCAGAAACACATTCCCAAAGCAAGGCTGGGCGGCCGTGTGAAGGTATTTGTTGCCTTTTTTCTCCCTTCTATATTTGCAGCGCCTCCCCGCCTTTCTCCGCTCTTGTGATGCCATGGCTGCGGCGTTTCAGCACTTCGGTGCGTGGACAGCTCCCATCTGCAATCCCTGCTCACTCCATCCCTCTCGCACCCCACTCTCCACCGCCTCCGTGGTCCATCCTCCCCCCCGGCGCCCGCTCAGCCTGCGCTCCTTACACCATCAGCCCCCCATCTCCACCATCACCGTCATGATCTCCACCATCACCAGCGTCGTAACTACAGTCAACACAACTGTGCCTTGTCACTTAGACAAAGCCGCAGGTCCGCAGGATAGAGGAAAAGAGCCCAAGTTTTCAGGCATAGAAAGGAAAGTTCAGGTGGACTACACCCCTGAAAACAAAGAGAGACGCCTGCTTGAGAGAACGGGAAAGTGAAGACAGTAGAGAGAGACCCTGGGCAGGGGGACAGATGGGGCACTTGCCAGACACCAGCAGTTAGCCAGCTGCCTTTCAGCAGATTAGGGACCGTTTAGTTCAGGAAATTAACATGGGCTGCGGTATAGTATTATTCCGGTGAAATAGCTGTATAAACTCAATCCATGTTCCTGGTTTCCCAGTGGAGAGTCACCAGGAAGCGGCGGAGGGGGGGGGGTGATTGATGACTCATATTCACCCACAGGCTGGTTTTCCTTCCTAAGCGTTTATTGCAGAAACTCTGGAATTAAGTTTTTTACTGAAATGTTTTGTAAAATGGAGACCCCAAAGGTTAACTCTGTGTCCAGAATGAAAATTAAAATGGTCATGATGATAAGAACCTAACAAATAGGGCTCTCTTTGGAAAGTGTTATTTGTCCAAATGTCTCCTCCTGTCTACTTATTTAATTTCAATTTTCCAATCTAAAACCTCTCTTTGAAGCAGAGAAGATAGATCCCTTGCCCAAATGGCCAAAGTAGTAATGATATTCGGAGCAGATGGCCTGGCTTTGTTCATCCTAGTCAAGGACTGACTCGGATGTGGAAGGCGAGATTTCTGTGTGCTTTCTCAGTAATCAGGCAATAACACCATTTTCCTATAATAGTAAAGGGTAGTAGAGTGGGGAAAAAAATGGAAAAGGCATTTTATGTAACTGTGTTCTACCAGGTTCTGCTTTCAGAGTGCTAAGATTTTCTATCTCAGCTGAAAGGAAGTTAGGGTCTTCAAATATCTTGAGGGTACAAACACAAGTCATAGCACCTCTTTGATTTAGCCAGGATCATCTGTTTTATAAGAGCTAACAAACCTCAGAAAATAAGTGCCCGAGCCTTTCATAAATAAAAATCTTTTCGTGGGTACTCATTTAATCAATTGTTACCAAACAGCAAAATGCTGGAGTTTTTAGCAAATTGTTTTTCATAAAATCAACATCTTTATTAAAAATGAGATGGATTATAATTTCATATGGGAATAATGTCAGTCACATGTAACAACCAAGTTTAAACCAAAGCACAGAAAAGGTTGATTAAAAAATCCCCGTTGTACATTTATTCTGCCTCTTTAAAAAGAAAAAGAAGCAAGTTTTGTCTAAATCAGCTTGCTCATTATCAGAGGCATTGTCAAAAAAAAAAAATAGTCACAAACAAGGAACTGCTGGAAGAAGTTTTGAGGAAAAATTCACATCAAATACTCTTCCTGAATGAGGAATAGTAGCATTTTGTCAAAAGTTATTTACTGCTATGAATTAATTCTATCTGCATCTAAAATTCACTCACTTTTGAATTCAAACCAAGAAAACTAGTGAAAATACCTGGTGAAATGGATTTTAGAGAGGAAGGAAATCTGGTCATCTATATATTGTCCTTAGATTGGTAATATCCACAGTAAACTGGACTTCTCAAGTCCCCAAGCAACCAGATTCTTAAAACTCCCTTATCTGTCTGCAAAGAACGGTTCAGCCCAGACAAATTTTAAAAATGTATATACTGCCAGTTCTAGCTGCTTGAACTAGAAACTCAGGCCAGGAATGTAGTGCCTTCAATGCTACGTCTTCCTGTGCCTCATACGATTTCCTGTGGCTGGGGAAATTTCAAAACAATGCTGCTTCCATGAGATTTACAGGCATCTGTCTCAGAAGCAATGCTTTTCTTTGACTAAGATATTATACTGAGCTCATTAATTTTTCTAAAGTGCCACTATCCTGGCTTCCCCTTTTGTTTTTTCTATTAAGGGATATTTTGCTTTTTCCATATTTTCAATAACAGAACTTTCTCCTTTTTATGATGGATTTAAAGGTGAACAGAAAACACACTTTCCAGCAGAGTGGCATCATAACATTTTTGTAGACATGTTCCCAGAGAGGTGCATCATTTAGAATCATGGAGTATCAAGCTGGAAGGTCATTCATTCCCAAATGGGGGAATCTAGAACTCCAGAATTGGTGGTGTCTTTTCACTTCTGCAGGTTTCACAAAGGGACACCTTAGTAACCCTGAGAAGCCTATTCACGATTTTACACATTTCCCCAGCAGAGGCATCCTTAGTAAATGGATCCAGGTTGACTTGGATCTTCTCTGCTTTCCCGTTAAATGGTGACCCAGAGGACGTAACACAGCAGAATGGGTACACAAAGTATGAAATTTGACCGCATGCAATCAGCCCAGAAATACCCCTTAAGCTAAGAGGGATCTTTTCCCCATTACATCTTTCTCCCAAATTTTTATTGTTTTGATTATTGTTCATTTTATCCAGTTGTTTATTTACTGGACTAAATTTCAGGAGAAGATCCACAGTATTACTCTAAGACTGTAGCCTCCACTGTCAGCCCCAAGTGTACATCTCTCTAGAGAAAACTGTGGTATTTTTCAATCCAGGTTTTTCTTAGCTTAATGGAAGGTTTATCTTCTTTGGCTTGATTCTTCATGGATGCAGAAATCAACTGGTCACTCTCCTCTCCATAAAAAAGCTTTCATTTATTCAGTTAATAAGTTCATTATTCGCCACTATTTCTGCTGATTCCCACAGCCCCTTATCATCTTGTCTCTGGCTGGGTAACCCTATTCTCCCCCTTTACAGACCTGCTATCACATGAAAGTTTCTGTGCGGGGGGCACAGAAGAAGTCTCTGTGAGCTTTCTTTTTCTTCTTCCTGACTGCTGAGCCAGTAGGGTTTTCCCCATATGTGTCTGAGATGATCCACTCTTGTCTTCTGGACACTTTTAGCCACATCTCCAATTTGTAGGTATCGTTCAGACCTCTCTCCATCTACTCTCCTTAGAATAACATCATGTCAGTTCAGCCTGTGTTATTGCTCAAATGTCTTACGTAAAGTGCCACACCTGTACGTGTGTCAAGTACATAGTGTACTCAGTGTTCACTAGTTTGTAGTTTTGGAGGGAATAAGAGAGAATCCGTGGGCCTGGAAATGGCACTTGGGAACTCCAATCCCAGGCTCTATAAATAAAAGACATCTAGTCTTATGTGTGGACAAAATAAATCAAACTAAACATGTAAGATTTGTCTCTCTTTCCTTTTCTCTCTCCCTCTCTCTTGCTTTCACTTGCTTCCTTCCTCCTTCCTTCCTTCATTGCTTTTGGTTGGTATATAGAGCATGCCAGCATGTTTGAGAACAATTAATGAGGTGATCTTTTATGAGTGTCAGTGCTCCAGAAGCACACTGGGAGTGCTTTTACTCTCTTCTTGGACAAAGTAGCACTGCTGTCCGCAGACAGAGTGAGCTCTGAATTCAGGGGTAATTAACCTACCTTCTCAACCCCTTTGATTATCAATCCTTTAGGTCAGTGCTTCTCAAACATTAATGGGCATCCAAATTGATCGGGGATTCTGCTAACCATTCAGCACGTCTGGGTGGGTCCTGACATCTGAGATCCCAACAAGCTCCAGGAGCTGCGGATGCTGCTCAGCCATGGACCATATACTTTGAGAAGTAACGGCAAAGAACACATGCCTTCTTTTTTTTTTTTTTTTTTTTTTTTTTTTTGCGGTACGCGGACCTCTCAATGTTGTGGCCTCTCCCGTTGCGGAGCACAGGCTCCGGACGCGCAGGCTCAGCGGCCATGGCTCACGGGCCCAGCCGCTCCGCGCCACGTGGGATCTTCCCGGACCGGGGCACGATCCCGTGTCCCCTGCATCGGCAGGCGGACTCTCAACCACTGCGCCACCAGCGAAGCCCTTCAGTTGCTATTTTAAAGGGAGCCAAGGGAGTCTATACAATGAATGTTTATGTGGCAAGGGCAAGCCCTGGGCTACTACTGAGCTAAAGGCAACAGAAAGTTGACCATGAGCCAGGGGCTAAATTCTGGCCACACTACACTTTCAGATGATTAAAGGTCTCCCCTTTATCCTTCTAGACTACTCTCCCTGCCCCGGGTATAGATAGCTCACATCTGCAAGTTGGCTAATGTTTGATAGAAAGTCAATGGATTGGAGTTCAATTTGTTACTCACAAGGCTTATGTTCCCTTGCCAGTACTTATGCAGAGAAGCCCTACAAACCCTAATGGTCAATCTCAAATTCATCACATGGAAATAAGATTCCTTTCTGGTCAGCATCATAGAATATTGTAATCAACCGACCTCTGAGATTTAAATATAGGCTCCACTGGCAGTAAGGGAGCATATCATCTTTCAGGAAAGATTTCAAATAGAACTGTACTTAAAAAAAGATTTTTGCTCACTGTGACTTTTGATTTTAGTTTTGATATATCAGCAGCATCTATTTTTATTTCATTCAGTGTAAAAGTCCCTTTCAGCACTCCTAGGGGGAAATACATATTCAGTTAAAAAATTAGAAGTGAGATTTTAGAAAGGTGAAGAGCCATAAGGGTTAACCTAATTCAATATACATTTAAAATTTTGAAACACATCTTTCACACTTACTGATGGCTGAGGTAGTTGATTAGACTTCCATGTGGAAAGTTTTATCACTGAGATTCATTCTTCATCTTTTTCTTATAAAAGAAACCCATGAAACAAATATAGGTATAGTTTCTCATTTTGTATCTGTATTAATTTAAATTGATGTGTATTTAAAATTGTTCTTTGTATTATCAAGAACATTCAGAAGCAATAAATATTTGAGGTATTGTTCATTAGTTATTGATGTTCTTATGTTTCAAACAATATTTAGGATTTATAGATTTCATCTTTCTGGTCATGACAACAATATACTCTTTCCTCCCAAATTTGGCCAGTTTTACATCCCTTAAATGTTCTTCCTTAGGATTGATGGGGTGTAGGTCTGTGCTTGCTGTGTGAGTCTGGGAGCACTGACACCCAGGCTGGTGAAGAGGAAGCACCTATTCTGAGAGGCAAGGTAGGGCAATGGACAGAACACAGGCTTTGAGTCAGGCAGGTTTGGGTATGAATCTTTGCTCTTCCACCTATACTTTATCTAAATCTCAGATTTATCCTTTTATCTAATAAGTAATAACCTAGCTTTAAAGGTTGGTGTGGAGATTAGACTATATAATACCAAAGCCCGAGGCACGTAACAAGTAGTCACAAATACTTGTCTGTTTTTTCCCTCACTTTTAACACTAGCTCATTATCTAACTTAATGCCTGGTGCTTAGCTGTTCTAGGCTTCAACATCCTTTTATCTACCTGGAGACAACAGAAGTATGATATCAACAAGAATATTACAGTAAATGTAAACTGGAGCTTTTCATTTTCAAAGCACTTTAACCTACATTATTTCACATGATTCTCAGCATCTCCCAGGGAATTATCTTTATTCTACCTATTGCAGAATCATTGTAATGATGAAAAAAGATAATTGATGTAAAATGCTTTGAAATAATGATACACACATGTACATATTTGTAGATAAGACACGGTTATTATTATTCTGATTGTTATCCTATATTTAATGTGTGTTTCTAAGGATAATGAAATAAATGAGAATAATAGATTATAAAATAACCAAAATAGATTTCATTTGAATTATTATGCTTTCTGAAATGATTTTTCCACCTAGACCCCTTGGTTCATAAAGACTAGGGTATGTGTTTATAAGTGTGTGTGTGCAAATACACTTTCTTAAGATTGAATTCCATATGAGGAAATACACAAATACGTATTTTTTCTAATGTAAATTTGAGATGAAGTATGAATCTGGAATCTATGGATGCCATGATTTCAAATATCATGATGTGGAGACTCTTCTTTCCTCCCCCTCACACAAAAATACCACTACCTAAATTTCTAGTTCATTAGAAAAAGCATGGATTAGAAATGGAAGTAAGCTTCTACCCTGGGCTCCCCAGAGAGTGTAATGAGTTACTCTTCATGTATTTGAAACAATCTCCAAATAAATAATCATTTCGGACCCAACCAGCAGTGGAAGAGAGAGTTTCCGAGGCTCATAGGAACCTGCCTAAAGTGCCCCTTTGGGTTATCAAGCACATTTCAATGCCCAGGCTATGCTTGGAACTCTACTAGGCATGCCGAAATATCAGCCCTTCAAGTAGAATGGCAGGGCCTCGGATTTGTCATTTTAGCCATAGGAAAATACGTAAAGGCAGAGCAAAAATCAATGATAGCCGGAAAAGTCATATATAGGTAGATTTTAAATAGTTCCAGTCATCCGCTGATGAAATATGAGGACAAGATGGTAACTGGACATTTGTAAGGTATGGCGTTAGGCCACCCTAAAAATGTCTGTTGACCCCTTAGGCACATTTAGGCTTATAGAATAGTGAATTTGGATGGAATTTTAGGGAAGGAGAGTGAGGTTCTGGCAGGGATGGTAACTTGCTGAAGGTCACATAGGTCTTAAGTGGTAAATACTAGAACCTCTCTGCTACATATAAGGATGGAATAGCACAGTCATAAAGAACATGGGACAGCAGAAATATTACTTAAGCTTAAACCCATTTCTGACTCTTGGTAACTGTGTAACCTGGGGAAAGTCATTTACCATCTCCTGTGCCTGTTTCCTCAGCTGAAAAATGGGGACAATAATATACTCATCTCATATAGTTGTTCTAAGGATTAAATAATGTACTATATAAAAAAGAGAGTATGCAAGTGCCTGGGACATAATAAATACAGTTATAATAAATAACAAATTGAAGCAATTCTTATTACCACCAGGACAGAAACCGCTCCTACTTCTTCAGGTGATACCTAGTCCAATGTATCCTCTATACTTGTTTGACCAATTCAGAAAAGTTGAATGAGAACCAAATCCTTCATGTGAACAAAAAAAATTACAGTTGAAAATGCTACATCTGGAGAACGTTCTTGTATAGCACAGCATTTTTAGTGCCTTAAATCTTATCAATTGAAGCTGTTATATTTAGTAGCAGTCTATTCAGACTTCTGAAACGAAGGATTCGCCTTTAATGGAAAATGTCTATTTCATCCTAAGTATGGAACCCAGTGACCCTGGCTTGGGTATTCTCCCCAGCAGCTTCCACTGTGTGCTGAGCACAGAACGAAGATACAGACTGAGACAAATTTATTTCAGAGATTATAGACTGGAGGCATAACTATGTGTGGGAGTGGGCCATGAAAGATGCAACCTCAACTCTCCCCTTGAACTCACAGTAATTTATCTTGGAAACATTGTTGAGTTCCCTGAACTGCAAGATAAGTAACTTGCTCCCAGCAGCTTTAAATATTCTGCCAGGGACGAGCCTTTGCTATGCCGTGTGCTCTGAGCGCGCTGTGCCATGGCTGGAACCATGAATAGCACCCAGCATGCTTCAAAGAGGCAATGATCTGAAGTACAGTGTGCCTAGGCTAACTTCTTCTAGGAAAAAACTACTTTGTAGATGAGGAAGGAAATTAAACGGCAGCTGCCACACCCTCATTTAAGGAAGACAGTCCTAGAGGTACCCAAACAGAAGGCGAAACCACTTACTCGTTAAAACAACACTTTGCCTACTTTATTAATTGGTTCTATATGTGCGTAGGTATATGGCACCTACTCAGTGTAGGCACAGTTCCAGGCACTGAGAATAGGCAGTGAACACAACAGAGTGGCTCTGCTCATGGCACGGACCCTCTGTGTGCCGGGCACTGTGCTGGCAATACGCAGGTGAGTAAGATCCAGGTAATTAATGAGATTCTGTGCAAGGAGTTCAGAGTGAGAGGGGAGAGAGGAACATGGCAATAAAATGTGGTGTGGTCAGGGCTGGAGGGCTACCTGTGACCTCTGAAGGTGAGGGAGGGTTCCTGGAGAAAATGATCTCCAAGATGACTCCTGAAGGGGAAAGAGGAGTTAATCAGTGGTTTTTCTAGACAGAGGGAGCATCTTTTGCCAAGGCCCAGAGAAGAGAGAAGAAACTACAGGTGTCTCGGTGTGGCTGCATGGCTGGAGGGTGAATCTGGAGAGACAGATAGGGACCAGATGATGAAGAGTCTTGGAAACCATGTCACAGAGTTTTATATTTCATCCTAGGACAACTGGAAGCTATTGATCACTGTCAATCAAGCAGTGACGTGAGCAGATTTCAATTGCAGTACAGAGAATGGACAAGAAAAGGGCAAGGTTGGTCGCAGGGGCACCACAGGGAGAATGCTGCAGAACTAAACAGATGAGTGGAGACGCGGTCTAAACAAAGACAGTGAAAATGGATGGAAAGAACAGGGAAGATTTAAGAAATATTACGGAAGTGATTGCCTGGATGTGGGCGGTAAGGGAGAAGGTGGAATAATAGTTGACTCCCAGGCTTCTAGCGTGGGAAACTATACAGAGATGATGTCAGTCAGTAAGAGACGGAGGTGGATGAGCAGATTCAGGATAAGGAACTACGATTAGTTCAGTTTTGAACATACTGCGTTTGTGGCGTCTAGGGGACATCTAAGTGGGGGTGATCAGTGAGCAACTGGGATGTGTAAATAAGCCTGAAGATCAGGAGACAGCTATGGACCGAAGTTATCCACGTGCAGGTGGTTAAGTCACGGTTGGATCCTGGAAAATAGCATATGGACGTGGTGAGCACAGAAGAAGATGGAGCAGGAATGGATAGAGGTTAGGAGAGAAATAGGGTATATGGAATCACAGAAAAGGGCGGGAAAATGGGAGAGTTTTAAGAAGGATGAAGCCATCAATATCAATTGCTGATGGGGTCGCCCATAATAGGTTACGAAAATGTGTCTATCGGAGGTAGCAGCGGAAAGGTCATTCACTAGTAGAATGACCATCTGTCTGGGTTTGCTTGCAAATGTCCGCATTTATGCCTGTTGTTGAGCATTATTGTTATTAGTGACCCCTGGTGCCTAAATCTGGATAATAAATTATACGATCATCCTGGTCATTGGTTGGTGAGAGCAATCAAAGATAGACTGCAATGGGTGTAGAGATGAATTTTGAAGCGGTGTGGTGAGGCTGAGAGAGAGGGAATTTAAAAATCAGATGGATGTCGAACTAGACGGATTTTAAAGATTCTTCCAATCCTGGGACTAGCGCATAGCACTGTTTTCCTTTACTATTCTAAGTCCTTAAGAATCAGTGAGAATCAAGACTCCGTTATACTTCTTATTTTCACACATTACAGAGCTAAGTGCTACTTTCTTACAAATTAGTTTACAAGACCAGCATTTTGTAAATAAAAATTTTTACTATTCTATATTCATTCTTGAAAATGAATACTAGTTACCTGAACTGATAACTAGTTCATCTCCTCCATATCACAAAGGCAATATAAAGCAGAAATGTGTGAGGTGATTGTCTCCCTGAAGAAATTACTGCTAGTCCTAAATTAAGTAAAAGAATCATTTTTGTCTTTAAAATTATTTTGTACGATATGGCATTAATAATTAGGTTGGAAGTAAATATTCTGCCTCTTATTGCATATACTGTTTGATCTAGGTAAGCTAGGAAAAAAATGCATGCCTGCAAGTTTTTTTAAACCTAATATGTTCTGATTTTTAGAACTTCTAAGTTAGACCAAACCAATGTCTGAGAGAGCTTAAACACTTATATTAAAGACGCAAATAATATGAGCATTTGTCTGTATACCATTTAGGTAGAAAAATCCAAGGGGATTAAAACACTCAATCATTTAGTATGATAATCTCTAGTTGCATCCATGTTGCTGCAAATGGCATTATTTCATTCTTTTCTATGGCTGAGTAATATTCCATTGTATATATGTGCCACATCTTCTTTACCCATTCATTTGTCGATGGACATTTAGGTTGTTTCCATGTCTTGGCTATTGTGAATAGTGCTGCTATGAACACAGGGGTGCATGTATCTTTTTGAATTAGAGCTTTGTCTGGATATATGCCCAGGAGTGGGATTGCAAGTCAGAAAGAGAAAGACAAGTACCATATGATATCACTTATATGTGGAATCTAAAATATGACACAAATGAACCTAGCTGTGAAACAAAGAGAACCAGAGACATAGAGAATAAACTGGTGGTTGTCAAGGGGGAGGTGGGTGGGCGAGGGTTGGATTGGGAGTGTGGGATTAGCAGATGCAAACTAGTATATATAGCATGGAAAAACAACAAGGTCTTACTGTAGAGCACAGGGAACTATATTCAGTTTCCTGTGATACACCATAATGGAAAAGAATATGAAAAAGACTATGTGTATATGTATGATGGAGTCACTTTGCTGTACAGTAGTAATTACCACTACATTATAATTCAACCATACTTCAATAAAAAATAAATTAAAAATAAATAAATTTATTTCACCAAGGGAAAAACAAAACAAACAAAAAATCATTATCATAAGTAAAATAATATCTCAGGACAACAGAAAAGTTATACGAAAAAATGACTTTTAAGTCCATATGGATATTGGGTTAGGTAGGGAGACAACCAAGAGTTTCAAGTCCCCTTGCCTTTTGTTTTTAAAAACATAAATTTATTTATTATTTATTTATATTTTTGGCTGTGTTGGGTCTTTGTGTGGTGCACGGGCTTCTCATTGTTGCGGCTTTTCTTGTTGTGGAGCACAGGCTCTAGGCACACGGGCTTCAGTACCTGTGGCATGCGGGCCCAGTAGTTGTGGCACACGGGCTTAGTTGCTCCACGGCATGTGGGATCTTCCCGGGCCAGGGCTCAAACCCGTGTCCCCTGCATTGGCCAGGCGGATTCTTAACCACTGCGCCACCAGGGAAGTCCTCAAGTCCTTTTGTCTTTAGTAGAATAGTAAAACCACTTGTAAATGTCCGCACATGAGACCCTTTCTCACTGCCATTGAATTTGATGACTGAAGGTCAAGCTTCCAGCCATAAGCCTGTCCTTTCCTCCCTGCTCCGGTTTACTGAGTTTAGTTTTGAGTAATTAGGTACTGTGGGGTGAAAACAGGGTGACTTTTAAAAGTCCCTTTTTATTGTTAAGCTGCAAATGGCTGCCTTTAAAACAGGTGGGGGAGGGCGTATTTCTGTGAAAGAAACGGAGAAAAGAAGCTAATGGGAGGCCATAATGTCTCTGGATAGGAGGCCTGTGAATGGCCCCATAAAGCAGGCGGTAACAGAGGAGGAGTTTTCTCTCTTCTTGGGTGATGCATAAAAAAGCAATCTATTACTAATCTGACCATACGCTATCATGTTTACTAGTCAATGTAACTAAAAACTTCCTAAACGTATTGCAAATACTTGCATGTTACACACTGAAGTTGTCAATAATAAAATTAGGCCAAGTATCCTCTTTTAAAGAAAACATACCCTTTATTCTTCTAATCAGACCTGCAGCATAATATACTGCTTTTCTGAGTTCCAGTTAACTTACCCAGACTTTCTTTGTATCATCTCTGTTTGTTTCTCTTGTGTGCATTTGTTTTGCAGTAAGCAATGGCCTCGCTTTTGCTTCTCTTTGGGATGGCCGCCACCACATAGGACCTGAATGTCCTACTGCTTCCCAGGAACAGAAAGAAGACCCTCTATTTGTCTGTTTCAGTGGCAGCTTGGTAGTAAAAAAAACTGTTGAATGGGCCACAATTTCAGCAGACCATCACGTGAATGGGACCAGTCTCTCTTCTTCCCAAATATCAGAAATTAAGCACTTGGAAAGGAGATTTGGCCAAGATGACCCATTTACAGGCTGGACTCAGCCCAGAGACTATAGAGAAAGCTCGCCTAGAACTGAATGAAAACCCAGACGTTTTACACCAGGATATTCAGCAAGTCAGGGACATGATCATCACCAGGCCTGACATTGGATTTTTACGCACAGATGATGCCTTCATCCTGAGATTCCTCCGAGCCAGGAAGTTTCACCAAGCAGATGCCTTTAGGCTCCTGGCCCAGTACTTCCAGTACCGCCAGCTAAACCTGGACATGTTCAAAAACTTCAAGGCTGATGATCCTGGCATTAAGAGGGCCCTCATCGATGGGTTCCCTGGAGTGCTGGAAAACCGCGATCACTATGGCAGGAAGATTCTTCTGCTGTTTGCAGCCAATTGGGATCAGAGTAGGTAAATGTAGATAGTGTCTTTATTTGTTTTTTCTTTTTCATAAGCATTGTCACTGCATGTTTGGGGCTGTATGCCTTTACAGATCACGGGCTCTTATTTAAAAGTATATATTCTACACGTCCACAAAGAGAATTTTAAGGCCACAGGTCTTTTACTGTCATCAATAGGTGATTACAGATCCACAGCAATGTTTTGGAACAAAAGAATCACAGTTTTAGAATTGTAAGAGACCTCAGAAGTTATTCTGTTCATCAAAGTGGGTCATTTGTTTTAATAAAATTGAAATCTGGTCTTCTAGGAGAACCATATATTCTGTCTTTAGGGTTCTCATCTTTAACAACAACAACAAAAATGGATTCAGTAGATGGCTTTAAGTCAAGTGTTTTTAACACATGAACTAATTTCTTGGATCCTCTCCATGACTTTAATATCTGACCTTTCTTCTGCGTGCCAGACCTTCCCATCCAAATGCCTGCCAGCCATTTCTCCCGCAAAGTCCTATAAAGAACCGCAAACTCAACATGTCCCAACTGAGTGCAGCATCTTTCCCACTCTCCCCGCTCTTCCATCCCTCCAGTCTCTCGAGCCAGAAATCTGGGTGTCTTCCTGGACCACTCCTTTGCCCTTGCTGCTCACATCCAATTAATTGCCAAGTGCTACCCCTTTCTTCTTAAAACCACCTCAAATCTCTTCACTCTCTTTGCCCCCATGGCTACTGCCCTAGCGTAATTTCTCATTATTTTCTCACCTGCATCACCGAGACAGCCTCCTGACTGGAGTCCCTGCCTCTGGTCTAGTCTCCTCTGAGCCATTGTAGTCTTTACCATCATCAGAGTAACCCTTCCAAAATTCCGTGACGTCGCTCCTCTCATTAAAATTCTTCAGTGACCTGCAAGGTCTTCCAAGTAAAGTAAAGCTCTGTATGATCCACCTTCTGCATCTCCTGCTCTTCTTCACCCTCTGCCCTTTTTCATGCTCTCTGGTTGGAAGTGTAAGCCTTGTCTTAAATAGCTGAGGTTTCAACATGCCTCCAAGCCCCTGGACTTGCCCCACCAGCTACTTAAGGGAGGGATCAACCATTTCTTATGCCAAGTCCAACCATCTTGGGCGTAACCTGCCTACTGACTCACACCTATCTCTATGGTTCTTCGGGAAGGTAGTCTTTACCTACCTTCCATCCCAACCTGTTTCAGTGAGGTGCCTTCCTCTGCTCACATATTTCCGTTAAAGTAGTTACAGTTGGAGTATAAGAACCACTGTTATTTTAGTTAATATTTTTGAAAACATACCACATACTCTGCTAAGCATTTATATGTACATATATTATCTCATTTAATCCACTCAAGAACTTTGCATGATGGGTGTTCCTATGATCCCTATTTTACGTTTGATGACACAAGGTCTTGAGAAGTTAAGTAACTCATTCAGTGTCACACAACTAGTGAAATACAGAGTGGGGTTGACTTGAGAGCAAGTTATCTTAACCTAGCTTTACTGTAATTGCGTGTTTGCTTGTGTGTTCTTTCTTATCCCTCCTCCCAAGACTGCAGGTTCCTTAAGAGCAGGAGACTGTGACTTTTTCCTATTTATCTCTTGGGCACATGGTCCAATAGGCAATAAATGTTGAATGCAAAAGAATGCATGAATTAATCTCCAAAACTTCACCTGTGGCTTGAGCTCTCACATGGGGATCATATTGAAATTATGGTATTTGGGGAAACATACGTTTAACTTTAAAAATATACCAAAGAGCCCCTCCCCCAAATATAATTAAAAGGAATTTCTAGGGCGCCCCTTTAGTGCCTCATATGACTATTCCTCCTCCTAAAAGTGATGATTAGTATGGGACCCCTTAGGGACCACTGGCTGTTTTCTGGCTGATAAACTGGAATAGAGCAATCTAACCCTGAGAAGGTATTTGAATGTTTTAACACTATCAGTCTAGAGATTGTTCAGGTCTGCACCTAGGCCTGGGCTGCCCTGCTATGCCTCTGTTCTGTTATTCCATAAGCATTAAGGATGAGCCTCTTGTTACAATGCTCTACTGATGAGAAAGATTTCCAGGTCTTTACATTCTCGCATATATCATCCACTCAACAAACATGTGACAAGTGTAGACTTTGTGCCAGGGCTTGTGCTAAAGCACGAGGACATGATGAACACGATGAAAATACAAGGTCCCTCCAGCAAACAACCCCTTGGGCCACCCACTGTCCAGTTATGGTGCAAACGCATAGACAGCTAACTCCCATCTACCACAGGAGAATTCCTTTTGAGACGTAAACCATCAACACAGGACATGAGTCTTAAACTAGAGGGAACAGCTGTCCTCTCGAAAAGGGCACATGGATTTCGAAACAGGAACATGTGATGATTCTGGAGAATGATCGTGCTGAGTTCATCTGTGCTTAGCTGAACGTGTTGGAGAACTTGTATCTGCTAAGACGGATGATGCACAGGACACCCGCGAGCGACGATCTACGCAGGAGGAGATAAGTCATCATGAAATATCTTGTTTTGTATTAGTCTTTGGTCTGTATGTACCTCAAAATGTGTTAAGAAGCAAGAAGAAACAAGCCTTTAAGGGAATAATTCAAATCTTTATGATTAAGATAACCTTGAAAGAGTTACTTCACGTCTCTGTTCCTCAGTTTCCTCAGGTGTAAAATAAAAAGCTTGAACTAGGTAATCCCTGAGATATCTTCTAGCTCTAATGGCTCGTGAATGTGAAGCTCATTCAGCTTGATGCTATGGATGGAGAGGGATTTTAAAATTCGCTTTATAGGCTCCTGATTCACTAGGCTCTTTGAAGTAATCCTTTCTTCTCTCACACACACATACACACACACACACACACACACACACACACAATCTCTTTCTTCTACCCCTCCTACCCCTCCCAAAGCTGGGTCTACTTGAGGCAGTTTGTTTCAAATTGTAGAATACTATTTGTTCCAAACCACTTTGGCTTTAACAAGAAGGTGAACGATAAGGCCATCTTACTGATAGCCAAAGATGATTAGAAGCAAACAAACCTCAATTTGAACCTGGATACTGTCATGTGATTTACTGGTTATATGACCTGGGACAAGCAACCTCTTGTTGGTTATTTAATGATGTAGTTGGGAGGACTGAATGAAACAAGGCATTTAAGGTACACGGCGCATTGCTTGGCCCATGGTAAACAACTAATGTTAGCTTCTAGTATTATCGCAAACACTATTAAACCTCCCACTACAAATATAATAGAGCACAGATGGTAAATAAGTTAAAAATAGAGACAGGCGTACAATATTTGAGAACAGAAGAGGGCCGACGAGTGTGAGCTGCCCCTTGCCCACCCTCAGCAGTTGTTAGCTTTCTCCCCAGAAGTGTTCCCTGTCACACAGACCTAGCCTAATGGAACCCTGAAGGGCTAAAGAGTTAGCACAGCTTTGCAGAATGATTACTTGACTCTCGTGGGGAGCCCGAGATGACTGGAAAGTGATTTGAACGCCTTATATAAAAGGTTTACTGAGATTAAAATGGTTATTAATATTTATTAAAACGATGTAACTCTCATCCATCTAGACCCAGACAGCCTGAGTAAGAGCCCAGGACAGCAAGTGATGAGAAGAGCTACCCTCCAGGGGCGTGTGCAGGGCTAGGTGTGCCCACAGAGCACAGGGGCCTCCGAGCACAAACTGGCCGCCTCAGCCGACTTCTGTCTTTACTGAGGCTGCCGGGCTGGACCGAAACGCGTTAGATTAAATCAGCACCCATCTACTCATTCATACAATGAAGCTGGCACCTCCAGGTTCAGTAGAGTGTACATTTCAGCTCAGCAGCCTGGTGTGTAATGGAGACCTAAGGAAACACTCTTGTTCAATGAGCCTTTTGATCTTTTTCACCTAAATTCCTAACAACATTGGCAAGAATTCCCGACTTGTCCCCTAAGATCTGATAAAAAAATACGTCTATTTCTTGTTTCTTTATGAGTTGCGTACTTGCACGGGGCCACACAGCCTGATCTGCCCAGGAATGCCCTTCCCACCAAGGGGAAAATGTGAGCACAGAAGAACTCGTCTATTTTTTTCTGGATTTTGCTCAGTTAACAGAAGAGCTAAAAATTGGTCAGGTTATTTTACTTTCTGGAGCCTCGGTATTATCAAATGGAAATGGATCTAGTACCTGGCATGTGGAGCTGTTGCAGGGATTAACCCCAAGTACTCTAGTTGATGGTGTCCAAGGGGCAGGATAGGCTAGTGATCAAATGCACAAACTCTGAAGCCAGATGGCCAGCTTCAAATTCCAGCCGCCTCCTAACCAGCTATGTGATCCTGAGCAAGTTGCTTAAATTCTTATTATCCTCAGTTTCTCGCCTGTGAAGTGGGGATGACCATGATCACAGATTAGCTCTAGTCAATAAATGGCAGCTCTTTCTTAAGAAAAAACCTCAAAGCAGGCAAGTATCTAGGATATCAGGTCACAAGATGTTGTTTCTAAGGGCAGCAGAATTTGATGCCATTACTAACTTGCCTCCTCCTGAAAAGTACAGACAATACAGCTAAGAACCCAAGCCACCATGCTCCAAAGTCCTCCATGGTAGCTCAGTTGTGGCTGGCAGGCTCTGAGAAGTCACCTGGTCTTAGTGTCCCTACCTATTATGTTTACTATAGTCTCAGGATATCAGAAAAGCATTGGCGGGGAGCAGTCCAGGTAATAAAAGCCCCACAATAGACTCCAATAGTATCTGTTGGTGCCATGTGCAAGACCGGCTGGTCCCCAAGTACTTTAATGGGGGACAAAACAATTGGAAATGCATTGTAAATCAAAATATATAAAATTACACTGGACATTCTTTTGTCAGTGTATTGTTTCCTTCCCACAACTGAAAGCTCAAAAATCAGCAGCCAGGGCTTCCCTGGTGGCGCAGTGGTTGAGAGTCCGCCTGCCGATGCAGCGGACGCGGGTTCGTGCCCCGGTCCGGGAAGATCCCACGTGCCGCGGAGCGGCTGGGC